TGTAAGTCTCAGTTTTCAGTGAAATAGCATGTCTCAGAAGTCGTGAAAAATTTCACCATGTGGTATATAAGAACAATTCGATACGTACTTTTAAGTGTTAAGTGTGTGTTTATATTTAAGTTATACGCGAATATATGTGTGTGTTATAGGTTAGTTCATAAGTGTTGACGAACGTCGAAAAGTGATACAATAATTGTTCTTTGTTTGTGTGATTAATTATCCAAATATGTGAATGAATGAGTGAATTTCAGAAAAACGGTGTGAACAAGTGGAAATTATTTTTTTTATTTTACAGTTTTTTTGAAAGTCAATGAAATTCTCAAGCAAGGTACTAGAAATTTTCATTGACTGCTTTTGAAACTCTCATGCAAAAGTACTAGACTGTTTTTAGTATTTTGTGTCGTATCCAAAAGTCAAGTACCGAGTCAATGAAAAATTCACGTACTTTTTTTTTCCGTGCAGAAAGATGCCAATTCAGACTAATTAACAAATAGAAATTTTTTTATACAAAATTTATGTTTATTTAAGTAATATATGTCGATTTTGGTAAAAATTATTTTGAATTTAACAATTACCATTGTTATGAACAATTACATGAATTTCTAATAATTAAAATAATTCAGGATTATTATGTGTAATAATTTTAGTCATAGTTTTCACTTCGTCCTTATTAGCAACAGAATATATGACACTAGCATTGATATAGTTAATTAGGAGAGTTCACACCCAGACTTCAGTGGCCGTGCGGTTTAAATGCTTCGAGTCGGGTCGTCAAGGGTGGGGGGCGTGAGTTCGATCCCACATGCGAGCGGATATTTTTCATTGTAAGTGTTATATAAAATAATAAAATTACTATATTTAATCTGTATAAGTGTTATAAATTAAAATTGTAAACATGTTTGTAAATAATGTTAAAGGCCTGTTAAAGAATGAATTCAAAAAATGTAGGGGAACATAGTCTAGGTCGGCCACCTTTTTGACTTTTGTTTATAACTTTTTTTAAAAAATGAATTTGGACAATTGAAGTATATGGTTGGAAAGTCCTGTTTAATAGGAACATTTTTTCTGTACAAAGTAAATTGACAGGTTTAAAAATGAAAAAGTTATAAAGATTTAAAAAAAAAAAAATTTGTAGTCCAGGTTGGCCATTACAGTCAAGGTCGGCCATGTTTAAAATTTAAAGGGCATTAATCTTTAAAAAATAAAATAACATGTTTGGAGTTACGGAAAATTGATTCTTTATTGTTTACAGTTTGTAACTTAATGAAATAACAAAATAATAAAAATAAACAATATAAAAAAATAAATATAAATAAAAAAAAATTTTGCACTAAAATATTAATAAAATTAAATAAAAATATTAATAAGATGATCAATTATATTATGAGTTATACAGAATTGCAGTTTTTGCAAATGAAGTAGCTCGTCCTCATCTTTGCGCATTTTAAACACATAGTGGCCGACCTTGACAGTAAGTAACATTACCGAATTGTTGTAACCATAAAGAAATACGTTTCGGGATTCGTTCTTTTACTTTGTTTTTCTTTCAACCATGAGTCCCACAAATGTTCTGCATACTTGCCTTGACGATTCAATTTGTTTTTTATCTTTTATTAATGGTTTTTCACATTATGCACAAAACTTTTTTTGAGCTTTTTTTGTACCGACGTCACAGAAAACACAATTTTCGATCCTCCGAAAATGTAATTGAACAAAAAGTTAGGTTTTACTAAGACAAGCTTCGACAAGCATGCGCGTAGGTGGCGCTAGTGAACTTGACAAAAAAACGCGAGTGGCCTACCTAGACAGTAGACCAACCTTGACTACATTCCCCTACCATAACGCAAATTGGTTTTTTATTAAAATTATTTTAAATAAAAACAAATAAAAATAAATAAATAAAATATAAACCGAGCGAGCGTTAGCGAGCGAGGAAAATATCGCTAGTTATAAATTAAGATGGTACATCTTTGTCGCTACGATTACAATATGACACTAAACAAATATACAGACAAGTACGAGTGAACAATGTACAATTTTTCGGGGTCAATGCCCCATCGATAAACAAAACTAAGAAAGAGAAATGTCAAGGTTTTGTTTATCGATGGGGCATGGACCCCGAAAAATTGTACATCGTTCACTCGTACTTATTATCTGTATATTTGTTTAGTGTCATATTGTAATCGTAGCGACAAAGATGTACCATCTTGATTTATAATTTTAATTTTTCTAATTTTCTTTTTTTCGGTAAATATTTTATTTTTAATTTTTTATTCTTAATCAAAAGATTGTAAAAAATTGTAAAAAATCTTTTTTTAATATTTTGTTTTATAATAAATTATAGTTCTGAAGAGGACAGCTGTGCTGCCGAAACGTAAAAAGAATTGAATTTCTTTTATTTTTATTTTCCTTGACTCAGAATGATCGTTAATTTTCACTATTTATAAAATTAAATTGATATAAATTTCATTTGGCATAAATGCCATTTAACATAATTCTCATTTGATATAAAATTTACTTGACATAAATTTCATTTGGTATAAATCCCATTTAACATAATTCTCATTTGACATAAAGTTCACTTGATATAGATTTCATTTGACGGATAAGTCATTACACATAATTCTCATTTGACATAAAATTCAGTTGTCATAGATTTCATTTTACATAAAGATCATTTGACTTGTTGAAATTGTCGAATCATAATGTTGTGGATAATATCTAATTGGTTACTTTTTAAATTTGCGCCGATATTTTTATGTAAAATGTAATTAGTGTAAAATGATTTTTATGTCAAATGAGAATTTTGTTAAATGACTTTTATGTCAAATCTAATTTATGTCAAATGACTTTTTTGACAAATGAGAATTATGTTAAATGTCTTTTATGTCAAATGAACTTTATGTAAAAAATGAAATTTATGTTAAATAAGAATAATATTAAATGACATTTATATTAAATTAAATTTATGTCAAGTGAATTTTATGTCAAATGAAATTTTTGCCAAATGAATTTTAGGACAAAATAAAATTTATTAAATGTATATTATGTCAAATGGCGTATATGTTAAACAAATTTTACCTTAAATTAATTTTCTGTTAAATAAAACTTATGTCAATTGAAATATATGTCAAGTGATTTTTATGTGAAATAAAATTCAAGTCAATTGTATTTTTACGTTAAATGGGAATTATGCTAAATGATTTTTCTATCAAATAAAATATATGTTGAATTAATTCTATGTCAAATGACATATATATGTTATATAAATTTTATGTCTATTGAAATATATATCAAATGGATATCATATTAAATGCCATTTATGCAATATAAATTGTATGCTTAATGAAATGTATGTCAAATAAATTTCAAATTAAATGTTTTTTATACCAAATAGATTTTTTGTCAAATTAAATTCATGCTAAATGGTTTTATGTCAAATGACTATTATGTCAAATAAGATTTCGGGAATAGTCATGCGTCTCGCAAAATGTTTATGCAATGAACATCTTGTTATACTCTAGAACACAGTAAACTTAAATTAAGATGTTGTAGATACAAAACGTACTCATCGATAAGAGACTTGTCATTCGAATGATGCTCTAAAGACGACAGCAACAATCTCCTTTTTGGAAAAAACGGGTTCTCTTTTTGGAAGTAAGCAGCTCTATTGGTGTGGAGAAGAGAACGGATACTCCTCAAAAACTAAAACCGTTCTACGTTTGCGGCGCCACTGCTGCTTTTTGTACAGGGAAAACAGCGCTCTCATGCCAAATCAAACGGCTCTTTTTTTTCTCTCCGTGTATGCCCACAGTTAATATCAAACTTCTCTTACAGAAAAATATGATGATATCACAATATGATAAAAAAGTAAATCATTGATAAAAATTAACTAAAGGTAACTCAAACAACATAAAAGTGACTAACAAAATAACCAAAATTAAGATATTTTTTCTCAAAAAATAGTAAAAAATTACGTCTGCAGCAGAAAAAAATATTTGAACGAAAATGGCTGGTTATCGAATTTAGCCTTTATTCCTACACCAACTTTAAGTGTGTTAAATTTAAAAACGATCCGATAAGTTTTTCAAAAGTTATTGTGTTTACAAGGTTTTTGTCTACAGACAGGCGCAATCGCTGGACCATGTTTTTTGGGTTCAGAGGATCCCAAAACGTGAAGATTTAATAAAATTAGCAAAACTCAATTTTCGACTAAAACTAATACTTTCTCATGTGATAAGAATGTAAAAAATTTTTTAAAAAAGTAAAATAATTTTAGAAAATAAAAATTACTTTCTGCGTCGTAGTTAAAAATATTTATAAAAATTTAAATACAACATTTTCTCTATATTACCTATACAATTTCCGCATGCAGAGTTTCAATATCGAAATTTTTTTTATCGGAAATATTAAAATTAAATTATTAAATTAAAACTTTATTATCGCATTTTTTAATATCAAAAATCCAATATTTATATAAAGAAAAATTTAATTTAAGTTTAAACATTTTTTATCATATTGGCCATTACTTTATATCCATCACTATAAAATTAAAAATTTTATATGTAAAATTTATGTTTATTTTATGTTTCAAACTCTATCGAGATGAATATATATATATATATATATATATATATATATATATATATATATATATATATAAAGTTCATGAAATACTCTGTTCCTTTTAAAAGCCTAAATTCTCTTTCTGTTTAAAAAGTAAAAAATATATACCTAACTTTTTTCCATCGGATTTCATTTTTCATTGTTAAATAGTTTTTAATTTTTTATTACTAGGTATATAAACGTTTTAAACATTCATATAATAAATGCACTTTCTGCTATACAGGTACCGTAATAACATTCGTTTATATTATAATTAAAAAAATTTAATTACAATTTAATAAATAAAATAAAAAATGAATGAAATAAATTTGCATGAAAAATTGTTTTTAAAAAAAGAAACTTTTAAATTTCAAAGTTGATTAAAAAAAACTCACCCCATTTTTTTCGCACACACCGCCTGCATTTTTTAGGTCACCTGTCCAAGCCAAACCCAAAGTGCCCATTTCAAAATCTCGATAGGTGAACATATAAGCCAGACAGAAAGCATCATAATCCTCTTCTGAAAAATGTAAAACAAGAAATTAAAAATTAATAAAATTATATTAACAAGTTCTATAAAAATAAAAATGTTTTCCATTTTTTTCATTTTTTACAAAATAGATTTTAAGAAAATAATTTTCAGCTTTGATTTAATTATTAAATAAAATTAAAAAAAAAATTGGACAAGTGCGAGTTGAACTCGCACTGCAATGGCGGGTTCCGTACACAAAAAATATTAAAACAATACTTGCAACATTTATCGATAATTGGTAGAATTAAAATAAACAATTAAAAAAATATATTAAAATCATTTGATAAAAAAAATAACTAAAAGAAACTAAAGTATTGTATAACTAATATTGTAAACAATAATAAGTACCTAGAGGAACAAAATTTTCAAAATTAGTTCCTCTACTTATTATTGTTTACAATATTAGTTATACAATACTTTAGTTTCTTTTAGTTATTTTTTTTATCAAATGATTTTAATATATTTTTTTAATTGTTTATTTTAATTCTACCAATCATCCATAAATGTTGCAAGTATTGTTTTAATATTTGTGTACGGAACCCGCCATTGCAGTGCGAGTTCAACTCGCACTTGTCCAATTTTTTTTTTTTATTTTTAAATTTTTGTAAAAAATTTTTAAAAAATCTAAAAAAAAATTTTTTTAATTTTTTTTTTAGATTTTTTAATATATTTTTTCTGATCAGACTGTAAAAATATACTAATAAACCCATTTTTAGTTAATTAGATCAAATAATGTGGAAATTAGACAAAACAAAATTTTTTTCAAAAAATTTTTTAGTTTTTCCTTGACAACGCTATGGCTATTATTACATAGCAAGTTCTCTAAGATATTTTTCCTGTAATATTCGCGTTAAAATACACCAGTATGCCAAATTTTAGCCCTCCATGTTGAATAGTTTAGAAGTTAAGTGGAGCGAATGGTCACTTTTTATGCATTTTTGGACAAAAATCTTGTTATTTCCTTGACAACGCTATGCACGGTGAGCCTGAACCAGACTCAACCCAAAAGTCTTTGCGCAGTAACTTTTTGTTTTTGCTGTAAAAGTATAAGCAAAATAGAAGCCTTTCCTGTAAAAATTAAAATAATTGTCGGAGCCGTTTTTTAGAAATGTCCATTTGAATTTGGGCGATCGAAATTTCTTTACACATTATAATATGTGGACGTCCACATGAAAAGGGCCCATTTTGGCACTATTAGAGTTATCTATATGGGCGTATTCCTGGCAAAATTTGGAGAATTTTGAGTGGTCTTAGAACTTTTTTGGTTGAAAATTCGCTGAGTTACGGAATTTCAAAGTTTAGAACTCCAAAAACCTCATTTCGAGAAAAACGTAATTAAAGATTGCGATACCAACTAATTGTTGTATTTCTGGTTCCTCTTGGAAGTTATTCAGATAAGAATTGTTTCCAGTTCAGGGCACTTTGAAGATAGAAAACCAACAAGTTTTAAATTTTTAGAACCACCCCCTCCCCTTAATTTTGAAAATACGAAAAACCGACAATATGGGCCCTTTTCTAAAAAGGACAGTTTTTCTATTAAAAAACCATTTTTTTACAAGATTAATGATTGAATATAATTTTATTCTGTCATTTGAAGAAAAAGAATAGATATTAAACGTATTTAAAATTTTTTGACAGTCTCTATTATGAAAAAATTAACGCAATATCCAAATTTTCATTTTGACAATTACGAAAAAAATGACTCTAACATCAATATCTCTGATTATTCTGGGAAGTTATTCAGATTAGAATTGTTTACAGTCCAGGGTATCTAGAAGATTAAAAACAAATAGGTTTTAAATTTTTAAAACCACCCCCCCCTCTTAATTTTGAAAATACAAAAATCGATAATATGGGCCCTTTTCTAAAAAGGACAGTTTTTCTATTAAAAAACCATTTTTTTACAAGATTTATGATTAGGTTAAATTTTATTGTGACATTTGAAGAATAAAATTTAACCTAATCATTAATCTTGTAAAAAAGTGGTTTTTTAATAGAAAAACTGTCCATTTTAGAAAAGGGCCCATATTGTCGGTTTTTCGTATTTTCAAAATTAAGGGGAGGGGGTGGTTCTAAAAATTTTAAACCTGATGGTTTTTTATCTTCAAGGTGCCCTAAACTGGAAACAATTCTTATCTGAATAACTTCTAAGAAGAACCAGAAATACAACAATTAGTTGGTATCGCAATCTTTAATTACGTTTTTCTCGAAATGAGGTTTTTGGAATTCTAAACTTTGAAATTCCGTAACTCAGCGCATTTTCAACCAAAAAAGTTCTAAGACCACTCAAAATTCTCCAAATTTTGCCAGGAATACGCCCATATAGATAACTCCAATAGTACCAAAATGGGCCCTTTTCATGTGGACGTCCACATATTATAATGTGTAAAGAAATTTCGATCGCCTAAATTCAAATGGACATTTCTAAAAAACGGCTCCGACCATTATTTTAATTTTTACAGAAAAAGCTTCTATTTTGCTTATACTTTTACAGTAAAAACAAAAAGTTACTGCGCAAAGACTTTTGGGTTGAGTCTGGTTCAGGCTCACCATGTATGGCCATCACCTCCAATCACATTCTCTATATTTTTCCTGTAATCTACGTGTGAAAATACGTATCTGTACCAAATTTGAGCTTTCTAGGTCAAATAGTTTAGCCGCTAGGGGGGGGAGGACACGATTTGGCTACGGACACAAGAGTCTCACCAATAGGGTTCCGCCGATAAACCGTAGGTGTACGGAACCCTAAAAATAAAAAAAAATTATCAATATGACTGGAAAATATTTTTCGTATTTTGTAAAATTCTCTTCAAATTTTTATAAAAGAATTTTCAGTCTTAATTTAATTATTTAAAACTAAAAAAATGTTTAGGTACACGGAGAGAAAAATCTAGCTTTAATAGTATGACACTACCTATACTAATTTCGCATGGACTATAGTCACGCTTCAAACGCATGAAAACATACCGAAAAACCATGGTGAAGCGTGGACCCATGGTTTTTGGGTATGAATTCATGCGTTTGAAGCGCGACTATAGTCATGCGAACAGGGTTGCCACTTTTAGTACAATTGTACTAAATTGATACAATTTATACAACGGCAGTACATTTAGTACCTCTTTGATATATTCAGTACAATTAATGAAAACAAAAAATTTCGAGATCCGGTAACGAATATAATATTCACTTGAGCGCCTGCGTATATTGTTTCTGTGGTAACAAGTATATCTAAGTATGTACTTAAATTTGATTGGCTGAACTTGAGAAACTTCCATGAATTGGAGTAGTTTCTAAAAGAAAATCCAATCAAATCTGTTAACGCGTGAACACACAACACATCCTTGACCATCTCTCCTCCGGCGGTCGATTCTCATCTCTGCTTTTTTTGGAATGTTTTTCCAATTTGCAAATTCGGTGTTCGTAAAAAGGTAAACAAATCTTTAATAGTTTTCCCTTTTTTTAAGAATCAGTTTTGAAAGATTAATTTACTACAAATAATAATGTACATTTTTAACTTTGATATTGAAAATAAGCGAGGACTTTCTTGAACATTATTGTGCCCAACATCATATCTTCCTCGAATTTTAGGTTATGTTTTTACTTTTTAGCATGCTGAAAGCGTTATTAATTTTCAGATGGCTTATTTGGTGAATTTTTCGTGATATTTCGAAACAGTTTAATGCAAAATTACAAAATGAACAAGTAAGTGGAAAAATTAATGGGTTTTTACAATTTTATACTTGAGAAAATCATATCTTTATGTAGATGTTTTATATTTCAAGGTTCGTAATTAGAAAGGAAAAACAAGGAGGTCAGAATTCTGACAGTGAAAATGTTGATAGCAATAGTAATACTATTACAAAAGCTCCCGCTGACACGGACACGGCTGTGAAAAAAAACCAAACTCGAGAATTGGACACTGATATAAATTCTAATTATGTTGAGGAGACGGGAAAGAATTTGTCAAACAAAGCAAAAAACGTAACTAAGAAAAAATACAAACAAAAATTTAGTGTTCACTGGATGAGTGAATTCAAATGGGCCTCGGAACGCAATGGTTCGACATTCTGCACAACTTGTAACCTGAAAATATCTGGCGGGGCATTTCATCTGCGGAGGCATGCTAATAGTTCCCATCACATTTCGAATGTTACAAAAATTTCACATTCATCAAATATAAGTGAATCGATGAAGAAAATGTCTTTAAAAGACAGAATAGCTGATGTTGAAATAAAAATTACGTGTTTCATCTGTGAAAATAATCTTTCATTTCGAGTTGCTGACAACATGGTGCAAGTGTGCAAACTTGTTTTCAACGACTCTCAACTGGCTCAGAGTGTGAGAATGGGAAGAACAAAATGTTCAAATCTCGCTATTAATAGGATATCTCCATATTTAAAAAAGAAATTAGCGATGGAATTGAAAAGTCATGAATTTAGTATTATTATTGACGAAACGACGGACGTCTCAACCACAAAAAGTTTGGTTGTCATCGTCAGGCTGTGGTTAAAATCGTCAGGGTCAGTGCAAGATAGATTTTTTGACTTGATTGAAGTATCTGATGGGACCGCAGAAAGTATATATACTTCCTTGATAGCATTATTGGATTCATACGAAATACCACATGAAAACATTGTGGGCTTTGGAGCTGATAATGCTAGCGTTATGATGGGTCGCTTAAACGGTGTACAAGCTCGATTAAAACAAATTTGCCCTAATTTGGTGGTACTGGGATGTGGGTGTCATTCGGCTCACTTGAGTGCATCTGCGGCGTGTCTGAAGTTGCCAAAGACAGTAGAACAATTCGCTCGCGACATTTATAACTACTTTGCGAACAGTAGTAAACGTCAAAATGAACTACAAGAATTCCAAATTTTTGCTGAAGAAGTAGTGCATAAAATTTTGAAACTCAGTACAACCAGATGGTTATCTTTCAATGTACGTAAAAATTTATTATCATTATTATTGTGTAAGATTAATTTTCATTC